CGGTGGTCATGTGTGACTTGAACAGGCTACCCTTACCCATATTTTTAAGTTTTATATACTGTGCCCATTATGACTGTAACAGTATAGTATAGTCATAAATTAACTTGATAAAATACCCATGGGGCATTAAATATGCCATACGATCTGTCATACGAATTTATGGAAATAACGTTTTTAAGCTCCCGATGGTATTTACGGGGAAGAAAATTGTTTTAGCAATTTAGTGGTCATTAGCCTCGACGTGACCTATGGAAATTAGCTGCTCCCGCCCGCCATCTTGTTTGGCGCGTAGATATCCGAATGAACCCAACATAATTGTATGACCACTCAGCGCATTGTCAAATGACTTGTGCACCAAACAGTATATGATCTGAACTGAACATAATGACGGTATCACACCACAGTTTGCGTTCACTACTGAACATAATGACCCCTGCACCGAACAGTATATCATCTGAACTGAACATAATGATGGTATCACACAACAGTTTGTGTTCACTACTGAACATAATGACTTCTGCACCGAACAGTATATCATCTGAACTGAACATAATGACTTCTGCACCGAACAGTATATCATCTGAACTGAACATAATGACGGTATCACACAACAGTTTGTGTTCACTACTGAACATAATGACCTCTGCACCGAACAGTATATCATCTGAACTGAACATAATGACGGTATCACACAACAGTTGGTGTTCACTACTGAACATAATGACTTCTGCACCGAACAGCATATCATCTAAACTGAACATTATGACTTCTGCACCGAACAGTATATCATCTGAACTGAACATAATGACTTCTGCACCGAACAGCATATCATCTGAACTGAACATAATGACGGTATCACACAACAGTTTGTGTTCACTACTGAACATAATTACCTCTGTACCGAAAAGTATATCATCTGAACTGAACATAATGATAGTATCACACAACAGTTTGTGTTCACTACTGAACATAATGACCTCTGCACCGAACAGTACATCATCTGAACTGAACATAATGATAGTACTATTCAACAGTTCTATTTCACGACTGAACAGTCTGAATAAAGCACCCAACAGCATGTCATTGCAACTGAAAATAATAAAAGTATCACACAATAATACACTGCCTCAGCCAAACAAAATGATAGTACCACTCAACTGTTTATTTTCATGGTTGAGCATGATGAGAAGAGCTATTTTAACCGAACATAACAACTGTCACACCCTACAACATATCTTTTTAACTCAACATAATTGTGTTAACACATGCCTGTTTGTTTTAAGAACTGAACAGAACGACTGATGCACCCGACAATACATTGACTTTACTGAATAAAATGTAATCAGCACACAACATTACATTTCAATAACTGAGCGCATTTGGATTTCCACCCAGTATATTGGGATTTTGACCCAGCATATTGTATCTCGGACTCAACAGAATGACATTTAACCATGTATATCAGTCATTCTACACATAAGACAGTCCAGGCGTTCCATAGTCTTTTGTATCAATCGTTATTTAAAGTGATTCCTTGCTCGTGGTTCCTTACTCAATGTTTTTTTACCACGTAGTCATTTTTCCTGTGATAACAAGCGGTCTTTGTAATGTAATAAGGACCCTGAGGACAATCTTCACGCTTCCCTATTTCCTTCGGTACGTGCACTTCGCAGAGTAGGCGAAGATTTGACAGCTTGACTGTTTTATCCCCCAGGACGCGTTCACTGGTAACGGTCCGAGCGCTCTTGTGTTGGTAGGCATGCAAGCCCTCCGGCTTAGATTTTTGTCAGTAATAATTTTTCCAAAAAGGTTTGTTATGGACAGAATATATAATGGCTAAAAATACATGTATTGTAAACACAGTTTTATAACTTGACAAAGTCATGACCTTTTGTTATAATTGTAAAAAATGTAAGTTACCATGTCATTGTTATTTGATGAAATTAAAAAAAATCAACTTACCAATAATAAATTATCAAATATACATAAATATAATACATTGATCTTGAAAATACAAGCACGTAGTAACCCAAAAGTCAACTAAACTTAGAGGTCCACCAACTATAGCAGGATGTTCCTTCAATTATAAAAGAATTTGTTAAAACAATTAAAGACTGTAAACAATCTATTGTTGGCACAGGATACAGTGACCTTGTGACTCCCAATTCGAAAAATATATCAATAAAGGCTGTACGAGCAAATGTGTTAAATGTATAACAAATCTCTTTTTAGCATCCTAATTGACCTTGACCCCACTGCCACCATCCAACGGAATGTGACCACCACAATTATGTTCCTACCTACAAAATATAAATGAAATCTATATTTGAGGACTGGTGATTCTAAACCCACTTACCCCTTACTCAATGGTAATTTACTGCAAAAGTTATATCCTTACCAACTAAAAAGTCATCTGTCAATGAATAAAAGGTATGTAATAATAATCTATTTTGGCATTGATGATCTTGACCTTGACCCCTAAATCCAACAATAAAAGGAAAAGGACCACCCATGCACATTCCTATATAAACAAGATGAAAGAAATCAGTTCATAAATAGAGGAGTGTAAAACATATATGTTACATCAGCGACATGTACGGAATGAACAAGGATCTTAAAATCAACCCATAATGTCACATCCGTATGGACAGATGGACGGTTTAATTGTTATATACCCGGGCAGAAAAACAACAAACTTAAAATCTGAAATTTGGTAGGGGGATACATGTACAAATGTACCAGATTAAAAAAATTCTGTTTTTAAACTTGATCATTGGTACCAATGATTAGTTTTTCATATTGAAAGTTATTCCTTAACACAAACATTACCTATCAATAAAGTTGTTTCCTTGAAACACCTCTCGCACTGATACAATTTCACTGACATCAGGCATTTTTTGGGCAGGTAACTCTTGCATGACCCAGTAGTGTTCTTAATAGAACTACACCCTTATACTTGAGGGATTGCTTGATAACACAGACCCGACACGTTTTAAAAGTTGTACTTGGGTAATTTAGCAAATGCTTCAATGATATTTTGCTAAAGAATTTAGTTGAAAAAAAAAACATGAATTTAAATATATCTAGACATATTCTCAGGCTAACGAGATATAAATTTTCCGACACTGCTCAAGGCAAAAAAGCTAAGTACTACAAAATTATATCCTTTTGTTATATACCTAAACATTTTAAGACAAAAAGAAGAAATAAAAAAAGTCGGATGAACACGTAATTTTTGCAAAAAGCCACGTCCAATATAGTATCGAAATCGCTACGCAACAAATAAAGTAATCATAACGTGTAACTTTTAACTACTTCTATGAAGTAATGACAGTAATTTTATAGGGCGTCCGTGGCCGAGTGGTTAAGGTCACACTTGCCCCTAACCTCTGTGGGTTCGAATCCCGACAGGGACTTTGGATTCTTTCATGTGAGGAAGCTATCCAGCTAGCTGACGGAACTTCGGTGGTTCTACTCAGGTGCCCGTTCGAGCCTGAAATAATACACGGAAGGGCACCTGAGGTCTTCCTCCACCAGTAAAGCTGGAGCTGTGCCAAATGACTTATACTGTGTCGGTGTGACGTAAAACCCAATCAAAAAAAATTATACGAATTTATTTAAGTTCGGTTGTATTGCAACACTCGATTTCGTTCCTGGAGCAAATCAGCAATGAGTGTAAAGTTTCTTGCTAAAGGAAACAAAGGTTTGCCTCAAACGGGGTTTAAACCCACGCGGCCAGCAATCCTTAGATCACTAGTCCGACGATTTAACCACTCTGTCACGCCGCCATTACATGATATTTGGAATGTTGACGAAATGGACAGTCGAAAAGTCAAGATATTCAGAAAGTCTTTTTTTTTTATTTATTATAAACTTTATGACATACTTGTACATAAATTGCACATACATTCATTGCACATCAAAACATAATAATATCATATCTAATTTGATTACAGTAACTATGCAGTTACACTTCCAGTGTATTGACACAATACCACAAGAGTCACAAAGAAGGATACAGTAAGAATTTTTCCATTTTTGTCCATCTCAAAGAGTCATGCAGTCAAACAGGGGACAGGGCTGAGGCAATCATCCGGGCATGTATCGTTATTAAAATTTTGGCTACATAATGTCATTTTAAGTTACGTAATCGTCAACATTCACCAACATTATCCACAAATAAATGTTTTGTAAACGCTCCAACGCAATACTTATACACACTTATATATTTGGTAATGCTTATTTTTTATGCTTCAATAATTTGGTTAACAATAAACTGAACTCATAAATTTACTGGTTTATGATTACTAAATTGGTATCGCTACTTATCAAATTACTATATTTTAGCTCAATTAAGTCGACAGCTCATGACAGTCCTTCAATCTCAACCAATTTGAAATTTCCGGGGTTTGCTTAACTTATTTCCAGGTGTATATCTCAACTGGTATTTTGCATGAAGAACACAAGCAAGATCTTCTTCGCTTTTGGAAAAGAACCAGACAATAAAAATGCCCGATAGCTTTTTGTCCTCCACAGACACGTCACGGTGTATATCCATATCGGTACCCTCTCTGCTGAATACAATTAGGACAAATGACAACGTGCTTAATAAATTTTATATCAGACACTTGTTTTAGTATTACATTTATCATGTTGTCAATTTAATATTCGTTTGTTTGACTTTTTTCTAATTTTAAATGAAACAAAAATCTGCTAAGAATCTTTGAGTTCATTTGCGAATTTACATGTAGTGCCGATATTTCATTGCACTGTAAGAAAAAAATGCATTTTTATTTAATATTTACATTATCTTCATTTCATTTCTTGTTGAGGTGTGGTGACTGTCAGATGAAGCTATATAATCAGGTATGCAGTTTATCGACAGAAATCAATGAAATTTAACTTCCAACCTGCCATTTTCAATATCAACATGTTTTGATTTTAGAGGCATATTATGACAATGTTGTCAGTGTTGTATATATAACAGACCCAAAACGGGATGGTTTAATATATAACTTTATTGCATTCATAAAGATACGCTCACAATCACAGACTCAACAAGCAAATTCGTTGAATTTATATTCCCCGCCAAGTACTGGTTATTACTAACACAACAACTGAAGACATAAGACTTTATTTATATATTTATCATGGCATAAACAGTATAGTATTCTTTGAACTTGATAAATATTCAGGGCAATAACAGAGCCATAATTCCGTGTTAAACAGTAATATCTGGAAATGCCAATGAGATGTATGCATACTGCATGACTAATCAAGGGCCATAAATCTGAGTTACAAGTGTCTGACCGGAACAAGGCTACTATATGGGTATCCCATAAAGTTTCATTGAATTCCAGCCACGTTAAAGTGTCTGACCGGAACAAGGGGACGATATGCCCATCTCCTCTTGTAATTGAAGTAGTTGCAGAGAAGTAGCGTGGAAATGATTTTTACTCTATATGCATACTGCATAACTAATCAAGGGCCATAACTCTGAGTTAAAGTGTCGGACGGGAACAAGCCGACGATATGCGCATCCTGTCTTGATATTTTAAGGTTCCCATAAAGTTTTGTTGAATTCCAGCCAGAAGTTGCAGAGAACAAGTCCAGAAACGAAATTCGGACGGACGGATGGATGGACAGACGGTAGGACGGACGGACGGAAAACGCCAAAACTATACCCCCCTCCCAATTCCATGGCGGGGGGATAACAATAACTGCAATATAAACATATATACGTGCAGAGGCTAGCCAGAGGAGGGCTTATCAGTACACAGTTCTTTCTATACTTTTTGGGGCATATTTAGCATATTTACCGCACAAACGTCTAATATTTCATTACAAAACATTTCATTCATACAAATCATTTAATAGCAACTAAATTCGCTTTTAAAACATTATATCAAAGATAAATCTCGTTTTTGTAGATCCGGTCTTAATTTCACTTTACAAGGCGATTTAAGGTATTTTCGTAAGTATGTATTTTCGGCTCAAACGTCACTTTTTAAGATTCTTTTCTGGTTCTGAATTTCTAATTTGCAGTATAATCTTTCAAAGAATGCATAAATATATAATTAACAAAATTATTTTAACTGATACAGTCATACACTATATAAAAAATAAATCTCATTGAGCTATAAATCATTAAATTGGTATAAATGCACCATTAAAAGTCTTTTGTCTCCTTCACAGCATGTATTAATATTTTCGACAATATGTTAATTATTTTATGCCTTCTTTATTGTTAGATCACTGATCCTTGACAAAAGGCTTCTGAACCATGAAATAAACAACACAATCAATTTTGTTATCAACAATATACCCATAACTAATAAGCTCTCGCAGTTTCAAACGGGTCCCATGAGAAAACTTAGCATTTTTCGAAAATTCCCTTCTTTCCTTTGTTAAACATTTATGCTGAATATCATCTTCCCCCATATACCTCAACTGGAATATTGCATCAACAATACATGCCAAGCTTTCTTCTGTTTTAGGAAAAGTGCTCAACAATGAAACTGAAAGACAATCAACATTATTTCTATTAAAAACATTGACAACAACCTCAAATGTTATATCCCATACATACACAGGTTTGCTTCTTTTCAAGTCCTCTTTTGTAAGGTCTAGGCATGGTGAAAACGCTATCATAGCCCCTTTGCTACTCGTAAGGTCATGTGCTGATGCAGTTTCCTGTGTTAGATCCTTTTGCATATAAATTTTCACCAATTCTGTTCGGGTTGAATCCAACAATTCTCCTTGTTTCTTTAAGATATCTTTATGGAGTTCTAGCAGTGTTTCAGTGTCCTCTAGTCCTGTGGGTTGTATTTCTTTCAGTCCAATATCAGATAGACGGGATGCACAAACATCCCGAAGGCCCTGAAAATTATGTTTGGTAGCCAAACTGTGGCAATGCACAACTTCTTTTATAGAAGCCTGTTCGTTCGTTAAACGGAAATTGAGATATCTTTGGCATTTTTTCACCAGTGATTTGACATTGTATTCATCTGCCAATGGTAAGATCTTGTACACATTATCAGCATCTATCTTCTTTTGTGTGTTAGGATACATGCAATGAAGAAACTCGTTGAAGTCTTCAGATTTCTTACCTACAAAATAAAAATACGAGTACATTAACTAGGACTGCTAAATGTACGGAAAACCATTAGGGCCATCGTGGTTATACTTTATAATCTAGAGGATGACAATGCGACAGTGCCATGACAACAATGTGATAGTACGATGGCTTTAATGCGATAAAGACAGTACAATAATGCGATGGTGACAATCGATAATGGCAGTGGAAAAACACGATGACAACAGTACCATTGTGTAATGGCAACAATACGATAGTTGTCGCTATCGCGGTATCGTACTGTCGCCAACGTGTTATCACACTGTTGTCATCGCATTTTCACACTCGTTATCGCACTGTCGTCATTGCACTATCGTTTTGTCGCCATCGCGTTATCGCATTGTAGACTATCGCCTTCCAGTTTCTTCTTCTTTTTTGTCTGTTTGTTTTCCTTTTTGTATACTGAAAACTCTCAATAAAAAAATTTATTATATAATACGGTAAGTAACATTTTTATCCAAAGATAGGGGAAATACAGTGCCCTCCAAAAGCCTAGAGACAGTAATAAAATATAAACAAGGGCCCTGAGTTGCCCACCAGAAACAACTGCTTTCATTTAAAGATAAAAAACTACATAAGAATGCTACAGACAAAGTTTGGTGATCATCCATCAATTAGTTCTGTAGAACCAGACGTTTAAAGGCTTTTCTATTTCTAGCTTTAGTGGCCCCTAAAAGGGGCCAATCAAATTGATATGAGCAAACTTGATAAAAGACTACCTAAGAATGCATATTTCAGTGAGAGATGATGTTCAAAGGTTTTTCTATTTAGCTTTAGTTTCCCCTAAGATGGGGCTATTTTTGGTAACTGGTGTACCTAGCACTTAAATATAGTACATTGAGGGGTGAAAGCGAAAAGGTTCTAACTCACTTTTTTTACAAAATTCACTTTTTTATATATTTGTCATAAATACATTGTATATATTTAAATATATAAAAAAATACACGGTATATTTGAAAAGGGGAAAGAAAAATTTGATGTAAACTCAAATTTTTTGAGAAAACTGCATGATTTTAAATAATTTTCCTTTGGGGAAGCAGCCCTATAACGACCCCTGCTATAGAAGTAAAATAAGCCCTGAAAGAATATTTCTAATCAAATTTTTGCAATAAATACATTGTACATATAAGGAAAATCAGAAAGCCCACTGGGCCGGACTAATTTTGACCCCAGGTCTTTTACATGTTGTATTTGAACAAACTTGATACCAATTAGAAGATTTTTCATGCTTAATATCTTTAGAAGCTCTAGCTCTTTGAGTTTTTTTAAAGAACATTTAAGTTTTTGTTTAAGCTTTTACTACATTGTATATACATATAAGGAAAATCAATGACCCCAGCCAATTTTAACCCCAGGGCACTTGGTAGACACTCACTAGAAGATGTTTCATGCCAAATATTAAAATTCTAAGCTCTAGCTCTTTAGTTTTTGGTTTCTTTTCAAGAAGATACCAATTTTTAGAACTCTAAAAATGTCAGAACAGTTTGTAAATATGATGTTTAGTGAGAATGATGGCACTATTAATGCTGTAGCAAACTTTGGCCGTAAATGTTTTTTCATCTAGAATCGAATTTCTTAACAAGAACTGTCGGAGGACAGTAACGCTCGACTATTCGAAAAGTTGTCACAAGGGTGTTTCATTGAGTATAATAATGCTTACCTATATGAATACATAAAATTGTCCGAAAAGGTACAAACCCTTCAGTAGTTATGGAGATACCGTCTAACAAGCAAAAATTTACCTAGAATTTCTAAGTCAAAAAAGGGGCATAATTATGCAAAGAAGTAAATCAGAGTTATGGAACTTGTGCCAATCATCTAAGATAATCACAGACAACAAGAGTGTGAAGTTTCAATCCATTCCCTTCAGTAGTTATGGAGATACCAGCTTACACGCAAAAACTTAACCAAGAATTTCTAAGTCAAAAAAGGGGCATAATTATGCAAAAAAGCAAATCAGAGTTATGGGACTTGTGCCAATCATCTTAGATAATCACAGAGAACAAGTGTGTGAAGTTTCAATCCATTCCCTTCAGTAGTTATGGAGATACCAGATTACACACAAAAACTTAACCAAGAATTTCTAAGTCGAAAAAGGGGCATAATTATGTAACAAAGTAAATCATAGTTATGGGACTTGTGCCAATCATCTTAGATAATCACAGGGAACAAGTGTGTGAAGTTTCAATCAATTCCCTTTAGTAGTTATGGAGATACAAGCTTACACGCAAAAACTTAACCAAGAATTTCTAAGTCGAAAAAGGGGCATAATTATGTAAACTAGAAATGTGTCCATAGGACACGGATGCCCCCACACGCCACTGTTCTGTCAATCTTATGACTCTAGGTCAAATATTTTTTGGACTTCATGTGCCACAAGTTGAAAACTAAAAATCAACAAAGGGCCATAATTCTGTAAAATTTGGTCGCAGCAAAAATTCCTTCCTTTACTACCATCTTCACCTTAAGGTTATTCATCCCTGTAAGTTTAAGCAAAATCTGCCATGCTGTTTAAGAGGAGTTGCGTTCACAAAATTTCTACATAGTATCTAGTGAAAAAATCAACAAAGGGCCATAATTCTGTAAAATTTGGTCGCAGCAAAAATTCCTTCCTTTACTACCATCTACACATTAAGATTGTTCATCCCTGTAAGTTTAAGCAAAATCTGCCATGCGGTTTAAGAGGAGTTGCGTTCACAAAATTTCTACATAGTATATAGTGAAAAAATCAACAAAGGGCCATAATTCTGTTAAATTTGGTCGCAGCAAAAATTCCTTCCTTTACTACCATCTACACATTAAGGTTGTTCATCCCTGTAAGTTTAAGCAAAATCTGCCATGCGGTTTAAGAGGAGTTGCGTTCACAAAATTTCTACATAGTATCTAGTGAAAAAAACAACAAAGGGCCATAATTCTGTTAAATTTGGTTGCAGCAAAAATTCCTTCCTTTACTACCATCTACACATTAAGGTTGTTCATCCCTGTAAGTTTAAGCAAAATGTGCCATCCGGTTTAAGAGGAGTTGCGTTCACAAGATTTCGGGACGTACGGACGGACGGACGGACGGACGGACTGACGGACGGACGGACGGACGGACAAGTGCAACGCTATATGCTCCCACATTGTGGGGGCATAAAAAGCAAATCAGAGTTATGGGACTTGTGCCAATCATCTTAGATAATCACAGAGAACAAGAGTGTGAAGTTTCAATCCATTCCCTTCAGTAGTAGCTTACATGCAAAAACTTCACCACAGGGACAACGACGCTGACAAATGGGTGACTGACTGCATCAGCTCGATTATTCTGCGAATAGTTGAGCTAAAAACGTAACATCTTGTAAAACCTATATAATTATAGTGGATCATTTGGCTTCTAGTATATACTTTTTTTATTCACTTTTGTCATTTAATATGCCAAAGTTTCTTATTGCTACAAAGTATTTTGTTAATTGTATTTGCTAATCATAAAGTTATGCTATGTTTTTAGTTTTGTGCATCTTGTACAATATCATTATTATGTAAAGGCCAATGATTGGAAATAAAATTTATTCTATTCTTTGGACCCACTTTGTGGAAAAGGCTGACAATGCGGAATCACCTTAAACAATGTTCAGGCAAAACTTCAAAACATATAAATTGCTGTACTATTGTCTCTCTGATTTGATGAATAATATAGATGGAATGTAGGACAAACCCCCACCAGTTAAAACTCCACACCTCAAAATTTTATAGAGTGGACAAAATCCCACACCTAAATTTTACAGACCGTATTGAAGTCCTGAAAGTAAGAGCCGAAATCAAAGCCAGTGCAGATGCCAACAGGGGCAAGCCTGCACAAATAGTTAAAGACAAATTCATAAATTGTCCCAAAGAGGTTAGTAAATGTTCCAATTATGTTATGATTTGATAAAAGCTTATTTGATAGTTACAAAACTTTAAAATATGATATATATACAAGTACTACAAGAGCCACCGCCGGGCGGGGGCAACGCTCGACTTTTTACTTTCTCTAAAAGCAAACAAAGACATGTTTAAACAAAATCTTAACGTTTCCTTTTTATAAAATTAATCGGTCTGTCTTGTCACAATTGTTTTGTCTATATATTTTGTATATATAAATATACTAATTGATATATATATAAATAGAAACACGCAATTCTATATATAGAAAATTATAAATAGAAACACACAATTCTATAAATAGAAAATTCTATAAATAGATACACGTGGTGGAGTCAATTGGTCACACATGGTGGTGGCACATGGTGTCATGTGGTGGTGTCACGTGATGGAGTCACGAGGTGGAGTCACGTGTTGGAGTCACGTGGAAGAGACACATGGAAGAGACACTTGGTGGAGTGACGTGGTGGAGTCACTTGGTGAAGTCACGTGGTGAAGTCACGTCGTGGAGTCATGTGGTGAAGTCACGTGGTGGTGTCATGTGGTGGTGTCACGTGGTGGAGTCACTTGGTGAAGTCACGTGGTGAAGTCATGTGGTGAAATCATGTGGTGAAGTCACATGGTGGTGTCACGTGGTGGAATCATGTGGTGGAGTCACGTGTAGAGTCACTTGGTTAAATCATGTGGTGGAGTCACATGGTAAAGTCATGTGGTGAAAGCACGTGGTGAAGTCAAGGTCATTAATGAGTGAAGGTCAAGGTCTGTCTGGTTATTTTTAAGGGTTATCCTTGAAGATTATTATGTTCAAGTTTGAAGACAATCCATTCAAAAATAACAAAGTTACAGCCAATAATAGCCAAAAAAATGAAAATTTCAATAATTTGACCTTCAAAGTCAAGGTCACTTATGGGTGAAGGTCAAGGTCTGTCTGGTTATTTTTAAGGGATATACTTGAAGATTAATATGTTCAAGTTTGAAGACAATCCATTCAAAAATAACAAAGTTACAGCCAATAACAGCATGAACAAGCAAAATTTGGACTTTTAACCTTGAAGGTCAAGGTCATTTATGGAT